CCGGTCATGCTGGGCTCCGCTTTCTCCTGGCCCAGGCATGTGGAGATGGTCCCTGCACAAGAAAGTCGAGCGAGATCCCAGGAAGAGTCCAGCGCTGGTCCGCATTCTGCTCAGAGAACTGGAGAAGGTGGGTTCTGGGCACAGGGGAAGCAGACAGGGTGAGAGGAAGGGAGGGGCCAGTTGGGGGGCTCAGTCCCCCTTGCACTGTGCCTCTCAAACTTTGGTTATTTGTGGGCCACCTGCACGATTCTTACTACGTTCTTCTCCCTCCTGTACTTCTACCTTAGCAACGTTTTTTTTTCATCGACTCCCACGGTTTCACTCGAATAAACATATAGATGCTCCTCAACTTATGTGGGGTTTACCTCCTGATAAACCATCATGAGTTGAAATATTGTTAAGTCATAAACGCATTTACTACACCTAACCTACCGACCATCACAGCCCAGCCTCGCCTACCTTACACGTGCTCAGAACACTCACGTTAGCCCACAGTTGGGCAAGATCCTCTAATGCAAAGCCTATTTTGTAATAAAGTGCTGCCTATCTCATGTAATTTATTGAATGCTGTACTGAAAGTATGAAACAGAGTGGTCATACGGGTGCTCAAGGATAGTTTCTGTCGAGTGCATAAAGTCAAAAATTTTAAGTGAAACATCTTAAGTCAGAGACTGTCTGTAAAAGAACCCCCATAACCTGACCATAAATGGAAAACCCGTGTCTCTTGTCAGAAACAGAAGGTACCTATAAACATAAATATGTAACTATAAAAGTTTCTCAAACTTACCCTCCGCACCACCCAGTGTCCTGCATACAACCATTTGGGAAAGGCTGCACTCAAGGGAAGCTCCAAGCTGGGGACCTGCTTGTCACTTTGCTGTGGCTCCAGCCCTGAGTCAATGCCACCCCCCCCATCCTCGCCCTCACAGAGAGGCTCCCACACCTGTGTCCCCCCCTCTATCCAGGGCAGACTGTGGCCCTTTTCACCCCCTTTGGTGTGCTGGTGTGCTGCCGTCTGCCTCTGCATCTCCTGCCCACCCCCAGCCCAAACTGCCTCCTGCTAGGACATGGGGAGGCCCCCAGCCCCCAGCCCAATGAATATCACGTGATCTCCTGTTTTCCAGGCAGAAAGCGAGGACCTCCGACATGTCATCATCCCGTTGCTGCACACTCTAATGTACGTGCTTACTAAGGTGAGCTGGTGGCTGAGGTCAAGGTGGTCGTGGAGGTGGTGATGGTTGGGCCAGACCCTATCCTCTCCCCTTAGTGGACATTCAATCCCTGCCAGAGCAAGCCTAGAAAAACTCTTGGATTGCCTGCCCCTAACTAGCTTCTAAGCAGCAGCTGGGCCCTTTGCCTCCTACACAAAGAGATAAAGCTGAAGAGGCAACAGGGAAAGTCGAGGCAGCGTGGAGAATGCACGGAGAGCCTCGAGTGGCAGAATGAGTTGTCCGGGTTTGCTCGCATGTGCAACGGGAGCCGTCATTCTTGCGAAGAGTAATTGGGACTGGTGTGTTGTCGCAGGGGGTGGGAGTGGTGGTGAGGATGACAGGTGGCAAGAAGAGCATGTCTGGGGTTGCTGGAGAATCCGGGATCAGGATGGGGCTTGGCCCCGGCAAAGGTAGGGGCACAGGGAGGAAGGGGAGGAAGGGCAGCCTCTGGGGCACTGGGAGCATCTCCTGCCTGTGGGCTGCAAGGAGAACCAAGAAGTAACTCCAGGGCGCTGAGCCTGCAGAATGGCAGAAATACGCTGCCCAGGCAGGGCAGAAGGGCTGGGAGGGGGGTTGACTTGCTGGCATAACAGGATGCGATGAATTTCCATCCTGGTGAGTTGGTTAAAGGGATGTCTTACAGGTGCTGGGAGAGGAGGCTGGAAGGTGTGAATCTGGGAGTGAGCTGTGAGCCCAGGTCTGGCTGTTGGCCTGATCTTCCTCCTTTCCCACACCACCCAGGAGCCATCATGACCTAGGGCTCTGTGCACCCCCAACTATTCCCTCTTACCCAGGCCACAGGCATCACAGAGGAGCTCTACCAGAGAACCTACACCTTCTGCACGAGGTTACTGACGCTGCCCACCCCCTACTGCACGGTCGCCTTGGACTACGCTATAAGACTGAAAACTGAGACAGCCGTCCCAGGTACAAGCTGCTGGGCATCTTGGTCACCCACAATACAACTCCAGTGCTGCTCAAGGTCTTGCCTTTTTCTCCAGGATGCTGGGGAGCTTGAAAGTCTCAGCTCCTTCTGCAGGAAGGTGGGGAGTGGGAGTCAGAGACTCAGGGGCTAGTTGGCTTAAGTGGTCTGGTTTGCAGGGACGCTGTACCAAAGGATGGTCATTGCTGAACAGAACTTGATGAATGAACTGTACCCCTACCAGGAGAGGTGAGTGGCCCCAGAAAGGTTGCTTCCCTCAGCCCCCTCAAGGTGTTGGGGACTGTAGCTGCTCACTGGCAGGATGACAAGAGGGGACTGGATGGAGAAGACCCCTAGCAGAGCATTCCATCCATGACATTTGCCCAGCAGTGGAGTATGTTTGCAGTTCAAGGGTGGGTGGACCTTATCTTTTTCTGGAGACCACTGCAAGCAGGATAGGTCTTTCTTCTTGGACTGGACTCAGAGCTACCCTGCTTACATGCAGAGGGTGAACATGGCCCCTGCTTGCACTGGAGTTGTGTTGTTCCATCTCCGTCCTGCCCTTGGCCATGATGCAGCATCAAACCAACCAGGTATCCAGAGGTGGCTCCAGAACATCCATAGTGGAGGGGGTTTGGGCCACAAGCACACGATGAAATCTGGGGGCTTTCATGTGGGTGTGCCCAGCCCTTTAGGTAACACTGAGGACATGTCCACTGTTCATGCTGGGGAGAGGGGTGATGAAGTTGGGGGTGCACACATCCCTTTTCTATAGGTCCCTCTGCTGACTTGGCACTGAAAGGCACAGCTTGAGTATGAGGCTTGCAGTGCTGTGTTTATGAAGGATGCAGGGAGGTGAAGGGGACCCAGAGGAACTAGTGCTGGAGAGGTGGGGACAACAGAGCTGAGTGAGAAGGAGAGAGAGGGGGAGGCTTGTTTTCTGGTGTCATGATAAGAGTGATAAGAAAAGATGAGATTCATTCAGGGTTCAGATCTCCAATTCTGGCGGGAAGGATTTAGAGTCCCTCCCAGAGGGTGACTTGGTCACTGGTCCGGCATGCTGAGGGAAGAAGCAGGATTTAGATTGGAACCTACTTAGACAAAGGACTAGACCTTCTTTCCTGTGTGAAGACAGTGAACTAGAGCTGCCCCGCCACAAGGGCTGTGCATGCTCTTGTTTGCCACAGTCTCCACCACTCCTTATCGTCCTTCCACCTACAGACTTTCACATTTGAGGCTCCTCTTTTTAGAGGATTAACTAACTTGGGGTGGGAGTGGGGGTGCTGAACAGCTCTGAGGGTATCCATTCAGTGGCCCCTCGCCCAGTCATCATCTTCATTACCTGGTCCCTCCTTCCACCCACCTCTGCCCTCAGAGTGTTCCTCTTCGTGGATCCTGAGCTGGTATCTGCCTCCGTGTGCAGTGCCCTGCTGCTGGAGATAGAGGCAGCCCAGGTGCAGCAGACGCCGGAGGCCTGCATGCGCCACGTGGTCTCCCATGCCCTGCAGTCAGCTCTGGGGGGGGCCTGCCAGGCGGGTGCTCTGCACAGGAAGCTGCAGGTAATTACACCACCCCAGCCTCTCGTCGGTTCCAGCCCAGGTCCCTGCACAACTGCCCACTCTATTCTTCCCTGTCACCTGTTTCATATCACCTTTGCCCCATAAATAAAAAAATGAATGTTTACTAGGGCTAATCTGAAAAACGCAGAAAAGCAAAAGAAGAAAATTTAAAAATCACTCATAACCCCTCGACCCAGACATAATAGCAATTAACATTTTAGTATATTTCCTTAATAACAATGGCGATAATAATTATAATGGTCACTGTTTATTGAACATCTGTTGTGTTCTAGGCACTGTGTTTAAACACTTTACATCTATCACATTTTGAAATTCTCCCAACAACATTGTGAAATAGATACAATAATCATCTACATTTACAAATAGGGATACTAAGGCGCAGAGAAGTTGATAACCTACTCACGGTCTCACAGATGCAAAGTGACTGAGCAGGATTTGAACCCAGATCTATCTGATGTCAGGCTTATATTCAATTACCTTCCAGACTTCAACATTAACACCCCCCACACACTCCTTTTTTAACAAATTGAGATGTCAAATTCTGTAAATAGTTTTATATACTACATAGGTAGGCATGCATATATATATATATTTATTTTCCAGTGCCATTGTAAATATGCCATATGAAAATATTTTCCTTGGAAAGTAAGCACTTCTAGTGGTTGCACAACATTCTCTCTTATAAATGTGCTGTTATTTTTTTTTGTGTGTCTTTTTTTGTCTCTTTCCGTGTCCGGCAACGGATCGCAACCCTCAGTGTTGCCCCCGTACCGGACCGGGGACCGGCAACGGGATTGCAACCCTCGGCGTTGCCCCCGCGCCTCGCTCAGCCAGTGAGCAGGAACCGGTCCATGTGGGATCCGAACCCTCGGGCGCTCCCGCGCTTCCCAAGCGGCGCACTTTCCAGTGCGCCACCGGGCCGGCCCAAATGTGCTGTTATTTAACCAATCCCTGTTCCTGTTGTCGAGCATTTAGGCTGTTTCCAATACTTATTTCCTAGCTTTTCTCTCTGACTCAGCCTCAGTCCCTGTACACACCCAAGAGATCCAGTAGGTTAGAGATTTTCTGGCTAAGGGTTGGCACCACATGCTGGACATCTTGGGTGGAAGAGGACTGCTGCCCGTCAGAGGTGACCTTTCCGTGGGGTGACCAAGGCTGGATTGGATGACAGCTAAGGTTCTAAGCTGCTATGACTAAGGGCTGTGGTCCTGCCATTACAAAAGAGAGAGTGCCCTCAAGGGTTCAGCCGTCCCCTGCTTGTTCTGCCCCATCTGGGATTCGCCACCATCTGCAGCCTTCGCAGGAAGCCCCCGTCCAGTCCCCAGCGGTAGAGAGGAGGTGCCACGCTGGGCTGCCATTGCCCTGCAGACTTGGCATAGAAGCTGGGGTGGGTGGGTGCTAGGCCGGAACCCAGGCTCTTATGCCCCTGCCCGACAGGCCAGCCCCCGCCGCTCCCTGGAGCGCTATTTCCACGCCGTGGTGGCAGCCGTGGAGCAGATGGCCAGCGAGGCCACCCCGAGCCGGGCGGGACACCTGGAGAGGCTGGAGGAGATTTACTGCTCGCTGCTGGGGCCGGCGGCGGCCACGAGGGGGCGCTGCGGAGGTAAGCGGCGGGAGGCCGGATGGGGGACTCGGCCCAGGGCCAGGCTAGGACAGCGGACCGCAGGGTGCGCCAGAGAGCAGCGCCGAGCCTGCCTGGAGTCCGTGCTTCGAAAGGCGCCGGATACCTGGCCGCTGCTAGGAGCAGCCCAGGGGCTTGGAAGGACAGGGGCCGAGAAGGTGGGTAATTTGGTTGTGATAACAGCCGACACCTACAAAGCACCTACTATACCCAGGTTGCTGTTCTAAGCACTTTATATATGTATTTAAATATATTACATATACAAGTATTAAATCAATCCTCACGGTAAACTTATGAGCTAGAAACTATTACCCCCATCCTACAGAGGATGTGAGTTAGAAAGAGGTTAAAAATGTTGCCCAGGATCACCCAGCTAGTAAGTGGCAGAGCCAAGAATCAGATGTGCTGTCCAGCTCTCTGCTGTAGTAACCAAAGGATGAGATTGTCCAAAGACCATCTACGGAGCATCTAAAATAGCAGGTGGGCCAACATCATTTACATCTGGCGTCACGGGTTTTTATTTCACACACTTCCTTTCTATTTGCATGTTTATAAAATAATGTCACACTTTGATGGGAAGCAAGCCCCATGTGGAGGGGGAAATCTGAAATAGCCCAGAGAAATGTCCTGGAATATGTATTTCTTGGCTGTTGTAGGACAGTTCTGATTTGTGTCCTGTTTCGTGGTAGCCCAAAGTACCCAGGGAATGTACCAGCCTGCATGTCCTAGAACACACAGTCACTGATTGTGCACCCATAGTTACAAGGCATGGGGTTAAGGACTGGAAACCACCATCAGAGGTCAGCATGCCAGCCCCAGGGTTTGAACTTGGCAGCAGATTGGGTGGAAGCTGCAGAAGTCGGGGTGAGGCATGTGGGACAGTCCCTGCCTAAAGACTGCAGCTTCTCAGTTTTCTGTTCGTTTTGCTTTAAAATTTTTTATGGTTGCTCATGAAGCCTTCCTCCTCCTGAAAGGGGGACAAAACCTGGAGCCAGTCTGGCTTTTCTCCCCTTGCTAACTCCTGCAGTAAGTCTGCATGGACCAGGCAAGACCATCTGGGTCGTCCCCGTCATCCACTCCACATCTGGGGGGCACCTGTCTCCCACCCATACTTGCCCTGTGTATCTTAATGACCAACCAGCACCCCTGTTGAGCCCCTGTGGCTATAGGGAGCAGCACTGGACAGTAGTCCTAAACACAGTGTCATGGGTGAGAGCATGGACTCTGGAGCTGGGCTGCCTGGGTTCAAGTCCTGACTTTTCTACTTACTGTGTGACCTTGGGCCAGTTACTTAACCCCAACTCCTCCCCTGTAATTTGAGGATAATAACTTACCTGTTGCCCAGGGTCATTGGCAGGATCCAGAGAGATGATTACAATAGGTGACAGGTGAAAATAACAGAGCCTGGCAGGTAGCAAGTGCTCAGTGAACACTGGTTGCTCTCCCCTAAGGAAGCTTGCAGCTCCACTCATTAGGGAGGGAGCCATGGCTACCTAGAAATTAAACAGGAATGCAAGAGCCAAATGCTAAGGCCACACATTAGGTGTGCCCAATGTGCAGACAATAAGGTCTGCTCGGAGGGAATGACCACCGTGGACCGCTGGAGGCCGTCAGGAAGGCTTCTAGAGGAGGAGCAGGAAGAGGGGCTGGCCCCAGTCTGTCCCCTGGAATGCCCGGGGTTCCTGCTGCCCTTAGCACTCTGCTGAGGAAGCTTCTTCAGCATCACCGACAGGAGCAAATGTCCATTGAGTGTCTACCGTGTGCAAGTGGCTGGAAGTGGCCCTGAGCAAACAGGTCTTTCCTGCCTCCTCTGGGGCATAGGCAAGGCATTTAAAGAACAGAGGGAAAACCAGCGTGGCTGCAGCACAGGGCTGGGAGGACAGCAACGGTGGGAGAAGAGCTGGAAAAGGCTTCCTGAGCTGGTTTCTGAGGGTTCTACAGGCTGCACTAGGAGGTCTGCAAGACACAGAGCCGCCAGCACCCTTGGGCAGGGAGGTGACAGCAGCAGCGCTGGGCCCTGGATGGGCTGGTGGCACGGAGGTGGATGGAGACACCACAGGCCAGATGTTGGGGGGAGGCCCTGCCCCCTCTAGGCCCCCAGGTGGGAGCCGGCAGAGTGGGAGGGCAGAGGAGAATCTCTCCACAGCTGCTGCTCTCTGCAGGTGACCCTCTCCAAGACCGGCCACCGAGCACCCCGCTGCCCAGCCCCTACATCACCTTCCACCTGTGGACTGACGAGGAGCAGCTCTGTACGTGTCTGTGCCTTTGACCTCCTCTGTGAGAGGCTGGAAACAGTGGTGTCTGTGGGTGTGTGGCCTTATATGT